TCTGAATATATCATTCGATAGAGCTCATCGAGTTGTACTTGGAACACCAATGGAACCTTTCGAACATGCTCTTGGGCGAATCTTGGCAGGTCTTACTGCCTAAAATCTAGGACTTTTGCGGTGATGCACTAGTATTTTTCAATTTTCTCAGACTCAGTTTGAGTTATGGAAAACCTGAACGCGCCATTCGATAGAGTGCGTCAAGTTGTACTTGGAACACAAATGGAACACTTGGAACAAGTTCCTAGGCGAATCTTGGTAGGTTTTCGTAGATGGATGCAAAAATCGCTCATGCTGAAAATCTAGTCTTTCCTAATTTTCTTGGACTTGGCTGAGCTATCGTGAATCGGAATATACCATTCGATAGAGCTCATCGAGTTGTACTTGGAACACCAATGGAACCTTTGGAACATGCTCCTGGGCGAATCTTGGCCGGTTTTACTGCCTAAAATCTAGGATTTTTGTGGTCATACACTAGTATTTTTAAATTTTCTCAGATTCAGTTTGAGTTATGGAAAATCTGGACACGCCATTCGATAGAGCGCGTCAAGTTGTACTCCGAACACGAATGGAACCCTTGAAACATTTTTGCTCCTTGCACTATTTTTACGTGAAAATCATGACCAAGGATTTTATGAAGGCAAGACTAAAATCAAAGTCTTCTAAATTTTTAGGCTGCTAGGCTGTTATCTAGACTTATTTCGAAGTTAGACTAATGTAGAACATCAAAGTGTAACAAAAATACATTCTGCTTACTTAAAAACTCATTTCACCACGTTTTTATTGAAAGAAAACATGTTTCGTAAGGTTTACTTAAGAATCGTTTTAAATATTGAGCATTTCGAAAAGATTTAGTAAAGATTGATACTAATATAATTAGTATGGCAACTCTCTTTGGTTATTTGTGAACAAAATAATTATCACGTTATCTATAGTTTGAATAATTATTAGTATCAGTTCATACTCGAACGAATTGATAATGAATAATGATACTGTGTACAATACTAGTAAAGATGATTTTAGTTTGTACATTGTTGAAGCAAGAGTGACTTTTTAATAAAAGAGATTCGACTTACAAAAGAAAACTCCCTTCACTTATTGATGTAATTGGAGAAAACAATGGCAGATTTACATTTACGAAAATCTATTAAATCAAGAAAATAAATAAAAGATTAAATTTTAAATTTTTTAAAACTTATATATAAGAAATTTAATTTTTTAAATATTAAATATTATTTAAATCGATTAAATTCGGTTCTATTGAGTATCTAAATTAAAATCTGAAAGAGTTTAAATAAAAAATGTATCAAGAAAAGACCACATTAATTGGACATGGGCACCAAAGAAATAATAATTTTCAATTCAGTAGAATGGAAACTGAAAATCTAATTTAGTAAGTTTACGCGAGACTCTAAATGACAGTAGGATAAACATTTATATCATCAGATTATTTTAGTTGAACGGTTTGTATATATGTCTTATACTCCTATGTTCTCGTGTTCGAATCCGTGTCTTGACTGCATCAAAATTCATGTAAGTTATAGTTCTGAAGGTCTATGAAAAAATGTAAACGAGTATATAAATTGTACCTGCAATTCAAGATCTATGAAGTCATTGACGGTTTTCAGTTTTTTTTCATCTAGAATATATGATACCACAGTTTGAGAAACGCTGCAAAATCTTTCATAAAAACAATCGTTACACAGCGTTTATTTTAGCAGATGTGAAACGCGTCAAACCGGTCAGCATTAACGCGTTTTGCAGCTATGGAAAAGTGCGTTTCCAGAACGTGTTTTTTTCGCAGAAATTTACACCATGGGCTTTAAGTGCTATTTCATATCATTTCCAAAGTCATTTTAAAGAATTTACTTTGGTTAACTCATATGCTTTGTGTTGATGAATTTCTGCAAGATTCTGTATGCAGAACGAATATATTTTGCATCATTCCAAGCAAAAACAATCCAACATACATTTGAAAAAGGAACGCGTTCCACCTTTCCCTCAATTTGTACCTGTGAAACGCGTCGCCTGTCGACCAAAGTGCGTTCGACAACATTTGAATTCGGAAACGCTTCGAAACGCAATCTTGAAAAGCGTTTCGGATCGTTTCAAAAAATAACGGTGGCAAAACGCATTTTATGTAAGTAAGAATGCTGCGAAACGCGTCCTGTATTGAAAAAACGTTGCGAAACGCATGCTACAATCTCAGAAACGCGTTACGCGGTCCGTTTCCTTCAATATTTTACTCCATGGGATGCTCCTGAGCGAATCTTGGCGGGTTTTAGTAGATGGATGCAAAATGACCTATGGTGAAAATCTAGTATTTTCTGATTTTCTTGGACTTGGTCTGTGCTATCGTGAATCGGAATACATCATTCGATAGAGCTCATCGAGTTGTACTCGGAACACCAGTGGAACGTTTAGAACATGTTCCTGGGCGAATCTTGGCGGGTTTTACTGCATAAAATACAGGATTTTTGTGGTGATACACTAGTATTATCAAATTTTCTCAGACTCAGTTTGAGTTATCGAAAATCTGAACATGCCATTGGATAGAGCGCGTCAAGTTGTACTCGGAACACGAATGGAACACTTGGAACATGCTCCTGAGCGAATCTTGGCGGGTTTTAGTCGATGGATGCAGAATCATCGATGGTGAAAAGCTAGTATTTTCTGATTTTCTTGGACTGTGTTTGAGCTATCGGGAATTGGAATACACCATTCGATAGAGCTCATCGAGTTGTACTTGGAATACACCTTGGGACAGTTGGAACATGTTCCTGGGCAAATCTTGGCGGGATTTACTCGAATCTGGTGCTAACTTCACCTACGTCCTTGAGGAGAAGCGTTTCTCTAGTGAAAAACCATAGTACACAATTCTAAGAAACTGATCACAGATTCGAATTCTTCGATCCCAAAAATTTTTCATCAAACTATATAAAAGATCGCTATTTTCCTTTCAATAGCTATTTCTTGACAAGAGAATCAAATCCACGAGTTTTCTGTTATTCAGTAACTGCTAACGCAATGGTAATCCCTCTCATCTGAATCAAACTGAAATGATTGTAGATAGCAGTGAAATATATATGTGAGATAATGTCAAGTGATTTCGAACATTATAAAATATTTGCTAACTTGTCAGAAACCGATTTAAAAAGCCGTATGAACACATTCGAATCGACTCGTCCTCATGGTTTTGTTTCATACTCAAAATGAAAAACATATATGATATGTTAGGTCCTGTTGTATTTGGACTAATGAAAATATTTGGAAGATGTTTTTATTTTGCATGTGTATAACCTTGAGGAAACGCGAAAATCTTTATTATTTTTTCAGAAAGTGTGTTCTAGAAAGCTGCAAACATGCTTTATAAAGAAATCTCTGTCAAATTGACCAATGATGTTCAATGTGTTACGCAAGTTTGTATGGATGGGTGTGGGTGTGGATGTGGTTGGGTGTGGGTGTGGATGTTAATCTTCTGTTCATTCACACCCACACCCAACCCACACCCACACCCCAATAGAATGAATTTTGACAACTTTAGGCTTTACCAATTATGATTCTTCAACTCCAATCGTTGCTATTCGTAGTGTCATCATTAACTTTTTATTGGAACATGAGAGTATATGTTTCATGTCTAATTTACCCGCAAATCGTTCTCGTGAATCACGATTGACAAATACTGTTAGTCTTAACATAACCAATGATAAATATATGTATCACTTAACGAAATATCAAAGTTGAATGTATGTATCTATGCGAATTGCATCGTTTATGCATTAGTATTTTTTATAAATATTGAACTGATAAATTAATAAAAAAAATGTATTAATCGTTCATATTACTCTTGATAGTATTTAAAGAGAGTTCTTAATGAATAATATTTTGTTTTCAATATCGAGTCGAAATTTTTATTTAAAAGGCCTGAAAACGTCTTTTCAAGTTTTCATTTAAACACCATGTATTTTCCATTCAGTCACAAATGTGGAGCAATTAAAATGATGAATATGTAATAAATATCGAAAAAAAAATATATAGAAAGATAAGTTGTGAGCTGAGGAGTGTAGTAATATATATATATATATTTTATAAATCTAAAATTTTTTCATAAGAAACAGTTATTTTTCTGAGAATCACCGTCAAATTCTAAGTAAATGACCAATTTAGAAAAGAAAAATGCATGTAGTGATTGAATTAGGAAATCGACAGAATAAGTAAAAGTGTCAACCTTTCATTTTTGTAATCGTCAGTGCTCATTTAAAAATAATTAATTAATCAAATAAAATCAATAGAAATGCAGAGTGTCATTGATACTACCCCGAAAAAAAAGAATGAGCTCAAACGGACGTTTTCGAGCAAAGATATGAGCTTTTTTTTCCAAAAAGTATTGAAATTAGTGATCGAATTTGGACTCGCTACTCTACATAATCTTTTCGTGCTAGTTGTAAATAAACAAAAAAAATTTGTTTTTTTCTGAAATATCACATCTGTTTTACTGTGAAAAGATATTCTTCATACATTTACACAATATTAGTAGTTCAATCATAACATAAACAAACAATTGAAAGAAAAATATGTATTGAAAAAATGCTTCAATACATTTTTGTAATCACTAGCGACATATTTAGCATCAAATTGATATGTTAGACAAAAATTGTGCATTTTATTTTCTAGAAAAATTTATTTATAGTATTTATATGACAACTTTTTTCTTATGTAATTGTAAGAAATAAATGTCACTATTGATAGCATATTATGTAGTTGATTGGTGTTTTTTTTTTGCTACACTTTTTTCTTTGTATGATCGTCGATCCTATGCAATTAGTTATTTTTTTGTCTTTTCTACTCTCGATATTCTAATGTTTTGAATTTCATACATTCAATGAATTAAGAGATTGACATTATCAACGAACTACTTTACTGTAGAAAAATTACACTGGTTAATGATCGTTCATGGATAGAACTAAACGAAAATTAACTTTTGCTGAATTATCTGCAGTGAAAACAAAGAAATTGCAAAGTAAGTTAATTAGTAGATATAAAGATCTTTTTGTTTTTTGTTTTTTTATTTTCGTATATATTTATAGATAAGACAATTCAATCGATCACTTCTATTGAGAATTTATGTGACGAACTTTTCTATGAAATTTTTGATTATTTATATGTTAACAATATCTATCAGGCATTTTCAAATCTTAATTATCGCTTCGAACAAATTCTTCATGCATCATGGCCTTTATTGCATTATATTTGTTACCATACAACATCAGAGATATCATCTGTCAATGATAGTTATAAGCAATTTCTTGCTCATAATAAACATAAAATAGTTTCTCTTCATCTATACTTTTACTCATCAACCAATGATCTATTTCAGTTTATTACCATCGACGCATCATTTTCTTGTCTCGAATCAATTTTGATTAATGAAAATAGAAACGATGGTTCACTCATAATTTTACTACTTCGTCATTTAGTCTGTTTACCTCGACTTTTCTTTTTGTCTATTTGCACAGGCAAATTGAACGATCCAGATAATTTATTTCAATTAATATTCGCTTTATCTCAATTAAAATCATGTCGATTTACGTATTTTTCGGAACGTGATATTGCACTTCCAATTGCAACTAGAAAACAACATAGTACAATTGAAACTCTTGCTTTGTATACAGTTGATACTTGGAATGAGATTCTTACTCTTACGTCTTATACATCTAATCTTCGTCGTTTGATAACACCGTGTGGTATGGATCGTGATATAGATATTGAAACGTTATTACCATTACGATTATCAAATTTGACTTACCTACGAACATGTTTCAATTATTTAAATTTTCATGAATTTGAAATCTTTATTAAAAAAATTTATTCACCATTGAAAATTTTACATGTTGAATTTTTAGTTGAAGATGTAAATTTTCGTGATAGTGATTGTTGGGAAAATTTAATTTTAACGTCTTTATCTCATCTAGAAGAATTATATTTAATATATAAAGAAAGATTTCCTCCTTCTGATGACCTAATATTTTCTGGTAAACTAAATCCATTCAGTTCACCATTTTGGATTGATCGACGATGGTTTTTTGAAGTTGAAACTGATATTAATTTTGTTAATTACATTGTTCGTCCATATAGGTACGTTGAAATTTGATTTTCATATATAAGTTCATCTTTAGTTTTCGATTTTGAAATTGAAAATAAAAATATTGATTATCATTACTCGACTTTTAATTAACTATATAAATAAGAAGATCAAGAAGAAAACATTTTCAAATAAGAATTCTCTAAAAAAAAGAAACTGTATTAGTAGCAATTTTCGAAGTAACATGAATACAATCAGTTTATCTTTAACCTTTTAGAAATATTTATTAATTCTTTATTACAGTTTTCAAAATTTCGAAATTTTTCACAAAAATCTAATTGTTTTTTTTTTCATATAATATGCATTGTGTTATATACATTTTATTCTTTTTTACAGAAAAAAATGGTATGAAGATGTAAAAAATGAAGTTTTACATTCTTCCATTGAATATTCAAAATTTATTCAGCTAACTATCAATGATACCGATGATGATGATGATTTTTATACAACATCATTTATTCTTAAGCATATTTTAACAATAACAAATATTCATCATTTAGAAATCGAAAGATCTATAGATATTCCATTATTCATTCAACTTCTCAATGCCTTAACAGATGTTGAGACGTTGAAAATATATTCTATAATATGTGATAACCGAAAAGTGGATTATAAAAAGTTTTCAGTGGCAAGTTCAATAAAGAAAAGAAGTAAAATTAAAAATGTTTATATAAAAAATGTAAAGAATATTGATGACATATTTTTACTTATGACATTGTGTCCTCATATAACTTATCTCAAAATAGATAATATTAATGTTATAAATCAGAATGTTAATGTCGAATCGATTGTAAATGATTTCATCAACAGAAGTTGCAATAATTCAACAAATTTAGTTCGTTTGCTTTGTTTTCGTATTCCAGCAGCAGATGATGGAACTATTGAAAAATTAAAAAGAACAATAATTACTAATGGAATCACTTGCGACTATACTATCAAACGTATAGTTGATCGTATTTATATAGAATGGAAATTAGAACCAACGATTGATTCTTCATAAAAAAAATATCTTTTTTTTTTTGTTTTTTGTTTTTGTTCAATAAAATAAATGGTTATTGATTGTCAAAGCAGAGGTTTAATGTTTGCAAATTTCTTTGCTTTGTGTAATAATAACTAATGTAAGATATAGAAATGATTATAACAGATCATAATTCAAGAATTACAATAAAAAATTTATGTTGTCGGAATGAATTTGATTTACCGAAATATGAAATAAAAATCATCATGCCATTACTTGAAGTTGCCCATTAATAGTGATATTAAAAGATCATGTTTTCTATAGAAATTTAATTTCAAGTTTGTTCCACACATGATGCAAGACGGGAAGTGGGTGTGAATGTTTCTTCTTCTTTACACCAATATGTCACATCCACACTCATCCAACATTTCAGCACGAGAAATTCGAATCACAAATGATGTGGACGCAGGGGGTTTTTATGTGGGTGTTCGAAGAAAAAGAAAATACAGATGCAGCCATGCCCACACTCAAATTTTCTATATCAACGATGCGCTATGATGGACAATTAATTTAGTTTCCCTAAGTTAAAATGGAAGGGTGTGGGTGTGGGTGTGGGTGAGGGTGGGTGTGGGTGTGGGTGTGGGTGGGTGTGGGTGGTGAGGGTGTGGGTGGGTGTGGGTGGGTGTGGGTGTGGGTGAGTGTGGGTGTGGGTGTCGGTGTGGGTGTGGGGTGCGGATGTGGGCGTGGGTGTGGGTGTGGATGTAGTTGAAGTAAAAACCCACACCCACACCCACACGCACACCCACACCCACACCCACCCACACCCCACCCACACCCCCACCCACACTCACACCCCCACCCACACTCACACCCCACACCCCACCACCACCCCACACCCTACCTGCATGTGTGATCTATCATTTTCTAAAATAGCGGTTTTCAAAGTTGTATACAGTCCGAGAAAAGAATCTGACAAAGCTTTCGCTCAGAAATTGGCATAAATAAAGTCACGTTGCTGCATAATATAACATAGTATTTCACTAACAAACAATATCACAAAAGACTTGCTCACCTGTGAGCTTAAAGTTGAAGAAATGATCGTGATGCAATTTAAAATAGACTAGAAATCAAAAGAGTTCCCAGGCCTGAAACCTACCGGAACACCTACCCTTCCGTATATTGCGAATCCTACAAGGACATAATGCCATATCGGGCTCAAATTCTGACCAGATATTACTTACAGACGCATGTATCCTAATAATGGTAGTAGCGCTAACTTCTGAAATCTTTCTTAGGCTATTCTGGAAGTATTCCAAAAACCTGATGTCTATGGTCGGAAATTCTCAATTTTAGGTATTCGTACTACAGTGTGAAGGAAAACTAAGGTGATATTCGGAATCAACGCGTCGAGCTGCGTCGTAATATAGATATATAGTAGTTTCTAAAAAAACGTTTTCGCTCATTTTCAACAAAAACTCCGGCCCACATAGCAACCGCTTCGGACTTTGCACACTCGATGAAAAGTAACGCTCGATCGAGTTGAATTTTTTACCAGATACTTCTCCGTGTGAACTCTACTGATAGTAGTAGCGCAAATTCATGAAATATATGCTCGGTTCTGTAAGAGATACCTCAAAGCTCAAGTTTTTAGTTGAAAATTCGATTTTTGACATTCAAATTGTATTTTGGAAGGAAATGTAGGCAATATTCGGGATCAGCTTATCAAACTAAATCAATTGATGTAAAGCTCGATTTATTTTTTCAAAAACATTTCTCGAAAAAGTATAGAATGGGTTGTTCAGGCATATTTGTCAGAAAAAATTTTTTCTTGAAAAATGCTTTTCCTTCTTAAAATGGTTGTCTGGCTGATATACTATTTTTTACGAAGAAAAGAAGAGCATTTTCGCGCAAGTAAGTCGCATCTTTAACTGCTAACGTGAAACCTGTTCCCACCCCAAGGACCTCTCTTAGGTTTTGCTCGTCAAAAAATATTGCTTTTGAAAGCTTTTATTGATTTTTTAAATGCGATTCCTTGAGTAATATATGGTCATAATTGAGCAAATAAAAGTCGTTTTCGAGCAAGAAAGTTGCATGACGCCTGCTAATGCGAAATCTCCCCATTGTGGCTAGGTCAGTTCGGGCTTGATCGTGATCTTGAACAATGTCGATCTCCATCGATCCATCTTGGTGTTGATTTCCTAAATGTTGTCTTCTCATACATACAACATACATATATTGTTTCGTAAAAGTGAATCTCAAGTATAACCAATGCAATTGTACAATACAAGTGATACAATATTTATGAGAAGGCAAAATTTAGAAAATCAACACCAAGATTGATCAATGAAGACCAACATTTTTCAAGATCGAAACCGAGCCCCAGGTACTCGATGCTTGCTCGGGCTCGACTCATGCCTAGTGATCATTTCTAAAATTATTGTTAAAATGACAGTAATAGTATAAGGCCGTCATGCAGATTGTTTGCCTCATTTATAAGAGGCAGATAATGATACAATAGTCAACAGCTGTCCAGAGTTATTTTAATTGAGGATTTATTCCTTCTCTCGTGTGATGAGGATGAAGAGAAGAGCCTTAAGTGCAAATCCTGCACACCTACATCTTCCATAGTAGTAGAATTACCTATGTACAATAGTATTGGCAATTGATTACCAATCAATCATATGTGAAAATATTATTTTTACAACAAGATACAACTTGAGTAGAAAGTTTGTATGTATTTAGAACAATGTAAACACTTGTTATGTTTATGAGTACATTACTTCTACTTTGCAATTGGAACGCCTCATCAAGCAGCATTTATAATACAGCCATATATGTCACAGTCATAATGTGCATCATCATAGATAAACAAAATGAATATGACGGTGATTCCTTTGTTTTTGATAGATAAAATGAAGAGGTAAATGTTTAAAAATTTTTTTTTGTAAGACATCAATACATGTTACATGATTCTCTTTCCATAAATCAAAGTTCTCTATCCGAACAACAAAATACAATCAACTAAAACATTCAATATTCATTGTGTTCATAAGATACATACTTCTATATTAAGAATATAATTGTTATTTTAGTGTTAAGTAGCTTGTATGAAGAACGATCTGGAGCTCAAAAATGATTTGCTTAATAAAAACAAAAAGTGTCTATGTAGTTAAAAGTTATAAAACGATTTTCTTCATTCGAACAAAAAGTTTTTATAAACTAAATAACCTACAATGTATAAGTGCTCGAACGTAAAATGCTATGGTTTAATATATTGAGTTTTACTGTTATCCTTCCGAGTTATTAAAATCTCTAAGTATATAGAAATTAGCACTCAGTGATATTTTCTATACATTATTTGTTGCGTCATTGACAAGCTCAAAGTTTTGCTTTTAAAGCTAATTATTGGCTACCTTTTTCTGCGTTTTTAATCACATCAAAAATTAATATCTCAACTATGTGTAGCTTAGATTGGTGCTGAATATTTATCAAAAGTAATCAAAACGAACAGTAGATGTTCTTATCAAACTTCTGGAGTATTTTACTTAATTAATAATTCTAACAAAAGCAATCATGATATTTGACATGTTTATAAATGTTATCAATATATCTTCAATATTCATTATTAAATCGAGTCATTTAATAAACTATAGTAATCATTAAGAAAATGAAATACTTGATGACTATATTTCAATGAAATGAATCCATCATTCTATTGATTTATATCAATATTGTTTTGACGAGTAAGATAATCTATATGATCATGATGTGTTACATTATGATTTATCATGACAATAACATTAAGAAATTCATCATATGAAAGTATACTATGGTAAGAATTCAGTTAAGTTTTTGAAAAATCGGAGCAGTTTGTTCTTTCATATGACATATATTTTGCATTTTTATTCCCAGTAGACAACAATACAATAAACTCATCCATATTCATTACGCCATCACGTCCAGTCACCTGGGCATAATCAAAATAAAAATATTCGATTTTGGTACGTGATAGACCGATAGCTCTTGCTAGTTGGTTCATCATTCAGTCACTATATTTTGTACAAACTGAAAATTCTTCTATCCAATATATGTATATATATGTATATATAACTATTGGATAAGTTATGAAATATAATGTAAGAATAGGAAAGAATATCGAACATAAATATCGATATAAGTCATTAATCAAAAGAAGACAAAATTCTCTGACAAGCATATTTTCTGTATACAATAACATGTTTTGATATAAACAATATCTATGTAACATCTTTAATTTTTTTTCTGTGCTTATATCACTATTAATAATTTTACCTATTAAATATTCAAAAAAAAAATTAATATCAAATTTATTTATTGCAATAGTCGGTGATTAAAACTTATGAATAAACACCATATTTTTTCTGTCAATGTCGAAGGATTTCATTCAAACAAGATTTTCTTATCATATGTCTTGAGGATATGTTTGATGAATTTCACTAAATAAAAATATTTCAAAAATTATTTATCGTTTAATTTTTTTTTAAATGTTGAATGATGTATTTATTCTTATAATAATAGTCAATCTGTATATAAAAAATGCATAAATTTTCTAATAGTAAAACTAATGTTCATTTTAAACATAGATAAACAATGAAAGTTATAAAAAATTATGGTAACGACGATTATAAGCTTTTTGTTGTGAAATATAATCCATAAGATCTTCTTGCGTAATATATCCAAGATTTTCTCGATCCACTTGTTTCCAACATTGATGTTCTGTGCCGGGTGGCAAATCATAATAATCATTAAGACGACGAAATATTTGATGACCATATTCTGATGAAATACGTTCATCACCTTGTTGACTTCCGTAATTATTATTTTGACGAATAAGATAATCAATACGATCAATACGAGGTATATCATGATTCATCATGACAATAGCATTAAGGAATTCGTCGATTGAAAGTGTACCAGAACGATCTCGATCAAATGTTTCAAAGGCACGAACAGTTTGTTGTTGTAAGTCTTGTTGGCGTTCTTGTCCAAATAAACGGGTATAAACATTAACAAATTCATTCATATTTAATGCTCCATCATTTTCAGCTGCTTGAAAAAATTCTTGTAGAATTTCGCGAATTTGCTGAGTTGATAAACTAGTCATTTGTTCGATTTCACTCCAATCCCATTCATTGACATCTACGCGGGATGAGCGAGCTCCCATTTTTGTATATTTGTATATTATAAAGTAACAGGTTAGTTTACATGTTTACTTTGATATACAATAGATAGAGTCAATGAAGCATAAATAAATACAATAGATATTATCGTAATTGACGGATGAACTAACAATGATAAACACGTGAATCTTTTTAGTTTATACAAAATGATTGAAAACAAGTTTGTTTTTCAAAATGCAAATATCTATTTAAGTATAGATTACATGTTGATTTAGTTAGTTTTAGATTATTCTTCTATATAGAGATGATTGAATTAAATTAATTAATGAATAGATCAATGTACCCCTAGTTATAAAGTGAAAATCTCGAAGAGAAAAAAAAAGCTTTTCTATTATTTTCTTTATTAATAAATGTACAAATTGCTTTTATTTCATAATCAAATACAAATAACTCAATTATGTTGATATGATATTGTTTTACATACACATTTCATTACATAAAGTTTAATATATTTCAAAGAGTATATTTTTATATTTCATAATATATTTATTGTCACGAAGAGCTTTTGTTAGTTCTATGCTTGGCCACACGTCCATTTCCGTCTTTTCTCATATTCATTCATCATTCATCTTTTTCTTTCTGGATGGCGCGAAAATGACGTTACTGTCACTCGGGCGTGTGCACATAGCCAAAGATCATATTCCACAACATAACTTGCTCGTCATCGTTGCGCACACACGTCTGACTTTTGCCTTCATGTAGACTCCGACAGAGAGAGAGAGCACACATACACACACGTAAAGTAAATACACCAACGGGAGTAGATGCGATACGGAAAAACCTATATGACTACACTCAACTTTTCCTCTTCGTCATTGCGTATGTGTGTGTGCGCTCTCGTTCGTTCCTGACGAACAACATTGGAGTAGAATAGAAGATGCTACTACTGCTTTTTTCACCGCCATCATCGGTCGTCAATTTTCCAAGCGCAAGACACACTTTTTTCTATCCCGTCCGCTTTTTCGCCTCTTTTTTCTTTTCTCTTTCTTTTATCGTTGTCGAGCATGCCTTGCTTTCCATAATGTGTGTCGGAACCCAATTAAACTCGAAAATATGCTGTTAAATTCTGCTATTCTGTCGGATAGCAACGTTCGTTCTTTTATGTTCTAAGAATTAATCTTTCTCCTCAGTGTCGTTACGATTCCAATCTACTGACGATAGTAATATAATGGTGAACTCTTTATCTTTTCTTCTTTATTATTTCTACAACGACGTAACATAAATCTGATGTTGTACAGCGTCCGTTCTTTTCCTTATTCGCAACGTTTCGTAGCGGGAGCACATGTAAGCAAACGAGCGGGCGCGCGTGCGGAAGTTCAAGAAAAGAGAATATATCTATATATATAAAGATAGCCGTTGTGTATGTATGTGTGCAGTTTTTGTACATATTCTACATACACACGCACACACATTTCCAGACGACTTTGTTTCTCTTTTCTTTCTGCAAGAAAATTTTTTTCCGATAGTTGACTGTCCTCTGTTTCTCTACAATTCCATTCCCTTTCTCTCTTTTTCTCTCTTTCCTCACTATTATTAATACTAAGAAGGCATAAAAGAGTTCGTGTGTTTTCCATTCGTTTTCGGCTTCCCTTTTTTTTCCTCCTTTTCTGTCTTTCTACTCTTACTCGCATTGATATATGTTTGCAGACGCCAAATGCGCGCATACATACAGAAAAAAAAAGACCAAGGGTGAGGAAGACGAACACACAATAGAAGAGAAAGAATGGTGTTGCTACTATTGAACACAACTTTTTTCTTCTTTCCACTTTTTTTTGACTCCGCTCGCTGAAAAAAAAAAGTCGAATTGAGCACTTTGGGAGCAAACAAAAAAAAAGTTCGTCGCGTTCTCTCTTTCTCTGTCTGTTTGTCTCTCTCTCTCTCTCTGTCGTTTCTTGATACATACTTTTTTCTCTCATTCATTTCACTGTAAAGAAAAAGGTAGTAGTAGGTGAGTGAACTTATTCTATCAACGTTTTTTTTTTTTTGTAAGAAGAACAAGTAGTAGCGAAAGTAGGTAATAATGATAAATAAAAAACGAATGGCGCCCTTTTAAAAAATAGAACTGCTGTTGCCATCTTTTCATGCATATATATATATTCATTTTAACTTGTCTCTATTTTCGTCCGTGACTTTCGCCTATCAATCATGTTCACATTGTTGGTATGAGAATAAAAATTTTCAAATATTATACTTAAAAAAAAAAAGTTTTGTTAATAAGATTTTCACGTTTATTTTTCTTTTATAGCCGTTTTCTATTTCGATGAGTGATCATAAAACGACAAATTTACATGCTCCGCCACCACTAGGTTCGGTAGCAAATACTTTAATTAGTCAACATCATCAAAAACTAGAATCGATTGATTATACAGCTGATGAAAGTATGATTGCTGTAAGTTGATATATCTTTTATTCGATATTCATAAAAAATATCATCTATTTATTAAACAAAAAAAAGGACTTTATGGCTGTCTTACCTCAACTTGATCCAAATGATTCATCATCAGCAGCAACATCACCAACATTCAAAATCAAAGGACAATCAAATGAAACATCAAAAATACTCGGCAAATTCGATGCATTTGCTGCTGCTGTTCAACAACAACAACAGCAACAAAATGGTATATCCATAGCATCGGCTCTTGTTAAAAAAGTTCAACAACAATTATTACCAGCAACATCTGGATTATCAAATGTTCAATCATCATCATCATCGTCATCATCACCATCAACAATAAATCAAATTGATTATCCAAATAATACTAATAATAAACGAAAACGTAAAGTTGAACATCCAGCACAAAAACGTATACGTGGTTCATATAAACTTGTTTCACCTGAACAAAAAATAATGATACACGAATATGCTGAAAAACATGGTGTTAAAGCAGCATCAAAATTATTTCAAGTAGCACCATCAACTATAGCTTCATGGTTATATCAAAAACCAAATGGCGAACGTACATCAGCTATACGTAATAAAGAAGCACATTCACGTATACTTCAATGGATTCAAACACGACAAGAAAATGGTGAACGTGTAAATAATCGTGATTTTCATTCGTATGCATTAGCAACAATGAGAGAATTAACTGGAAATCCAGATTTTGCCGCATCACGTTCATGGTGTTCAAATTTTCTTAAAAAATATAATATTCAATTGGATAGGTAAGAGAAATAAAAAAAAAACGAACTCAAATGTCTAATAAAGCAGTGATCAATTGTTCATGTATATAAATTTATGCGTATATATATATATATGTGTGTACATGTATTTAGTTTATTTTGAGAAGTAAAAAAAAAGAAGAAGAAGAATATAGATGATTCATTTTTTCAATTATATATATTAAAAAAGTTATTCTTTTTTTCAGTTTATTTTGCATTTATGTTTTGGTTTTTTTCTTTTTTTCTTTCTAGCGATAAACAAGCCGATTCAACATCGGCACAATTTCGATTTGATTCTATTGATGAAAATGCTAGTGGTAAGTAGCATTATTTGTTTTTCTTTTCATGATTATTAAATAGAAGAAGCGTGAATAAAAAGCATATTGATCCACGAATATCTTAATCAGTCCTAGCCCACAAGCGATATTATACTTTATACACTGATGTTAGATACATGTTATTATTATCAACTTCAATGAACACTTCTATAGAAATACTATGCACTAGTTAGTTTTTATTATTCATTTTTATGAATATAAATAGTTGTTTTTTTTTTCAAATTTATCATGCTCAACCATCTAGTAGCGAAGCTAGGAAATGACTGGAGGGGAGCGCTCAGTTCTTCCTCGTTGCCTCTCTTAAAACCAACAACTGTTTTTTTTAAAACTCGTGAAACTCGATATGATTCATGTTGCTTCTATATAAAATATAAAAAAATAAAATTTGCATCTGTTAAGTCAATATTCTCTTTTTATTTCTCAGAGAGTTCTCAATGTTATATGGGTGGTAATAGTCCAGCTGATGTTTTAACAGATGAAGATGATAGTCGTCCAAATCTTCATATATCAAATGATGATGAGGGTCAAACAAGTCCACATAGATTCTCAGCAAGTGATTATAATAATAATCAAACAACAAATCCAAATCATTGTTTATCACCATCATCACAAACAAAAACATTAAATGGAATAGATAATGTATCAACTACGACAACAACTGTGATTAAAGTTGAACAAGATAATGATTGTAATTATTCATCATCACCATCATCACCACCCCCAATTCAAACATTACCAAATAAAATCTCTGTAACAACAAGTTTACCTGCTTCATCATCTTCATCTACAGCTGGTAAACGTCTTACTGGTACACTTAATCGATTGTTATATTCAGCTATTAATCGACCAAATGGACATCATTATTATCATCATATTAATGGAGTATCATCTTCGCCATCAGCATCATCATCATCAACAGCAACAACATTAGTTGTTGATTCAACAGCTAAAGAACCAAAAACAAGTTTAGAAATGACGACACCAGCAATTGAAAGTATGTTTACGCTAACATATTATTCTGAAGTTTTTTGTTTTTTGTTATTTAGCTTTTGTACAACATTTTGATAGTTCATTTAATACAATGACTTATTTTCAAGAAAAACTTCAACAATTACTTGTTTCTATTGCACGTAAGAACATTCTGTTTGATATTTGCTTTTTTTTTTTTCAAGTTCAATTCATTATCTTTTCTAGAAGAACGAGATACATATCGAACACTTTATCTCAAGGAACATGATCGTCGTTTAGCTGCTGAATTGCGACTTAAAGAGAGTAACAATACAATAGCCTAGTCAATCAAAAATTGTTTGTTTTTTTTTAATTCCCTCCCAAATCTATTTGTGCCAGAAAAAAAGCTGTGATCTTTTACTCTTAAACGAAAACAAAAAACAACAGACAACTGCCAGAATCTTAACGTTTTGTTCTTTTAACGAAAAAAAAAATCAAAGTCAACATTTATTGTTTTCTTTTTAATTGCAATATGCGTCTTTATTACATTTTGTGTGTGTGTGTGCGCTTTGTTTTATAGCTATGTTTCTTTTTTGGCTTTGTTGGAGTGTGTCTCTTCGTTTTCTTTTTTCAGCAGTATAATTTTACTCACATTTGTTGTGTTGTGTGTAATTCTTTTTGCTACAATGACATGTGTTTGTATATCTTGTTCTAGTCATTTTTTTCGGTTTTATAACAGAAAAAAAACAGAAGAACAAAATGAACATTAAAAATGAATATAAATGAAATTTTGTTGTGATTATTATAGCATTTGTACTTAAAGATTTTGTTTTTTTTAGAACTTTATAAAACTAAGAAAAATAATCTTCTAATTTTTGTGAATTTGATATTAGTATTTTATCATAATCAAATGAAAAACTAATTAAAAGATCATACGTTTAGACTATATGAGTTTCATAGAAATCTGCTAATGAGCAGCATTCCAAAATAAATTGCACTAAATCTTGGTACTTTTTTTTTCTCCTACTTTCTAAGCATAAGAAGTTTTCTTTATATGTCAAAATATATACTATACTGTTTCTTTCAGATATGTTTTTGTAAAATTCTGAAACATGCATGTAGAGATGCTGAATTCTAAGGAAAATCCTGTAAGATAGTTGAAAATTTCCCTGAAGTTGTATTAAAAAATTATCACCAGTGTTTTTTTTGTTTTTGTTGTCTTGACTGTTGCAGTTATATAATCAAGTAAATGTTCTTCCTCAAAATTTTATAGATATTGAAATACTCTATCTTTCAACATGGTAGGGATTAGTTTTATAATTAAGAAACAAGAAAAAATGTACTGAGATTTAGTGCAATATCTTTTGGGACACCTATTAATATTGAAAATATAAAATCAAATGTGATAGAAAAATTTGAAGTACTACCTCGTAAGATTAGCAAAAATACATATCAAGAATATATTTTGATCAATTGTTGTTCGTTTTGAAGATATTATTCCTTTCTGGGACGTTTCTAAAGATTAATTGTCTATCGATACTATGCAGTATTCTAATAAAAACTCTAAAATGATTTTAATTCCTGTAGATATTTGACTAAACCATCAAATTTTTAATACGTTCATTTTCTAGAAGCATCAGGTTCTCGAAAACTCGTATTTTTAGAATTTTGATCTGAAACATAAGAGATCCTCAACATATAGATACTCTTCAATGGGTAATGTGTACAACATCATATCTCGAAGAGACTTTAGTCAAAACTGCTGAATAGCTTTACGGATGTTACTCCAGTTGAGTTTTTCATATGCACGAAATTTCAGATCAAAATTTGAAAATGTCGGGTAGTAAAATTCCAATAAAAACTAAAATACTTTCAGAGTTTTTATTATAACAGGAATATTTCTAAATGGTTGAACTAGATCGAAGAAATGTTCAGTTTGATTTTTTCATTCTTCGTATAATATAAGTAACTTTGAAATTTAAATTCACTAATGATCATTATTCAATATGAAATTATTGTTTTTGTTTTTCTTCTGAATATATTTAAACATTTATCGTGTCCGTAACAAAATAGAAATCGAATAACAACAAAAACATCAACAGAAAAAAATAGACTCATATAGAAACAAAGAGGAGATTGCTAAAGCCAATGGAAAAAACAACATCTTCAAGTTGAAATATTGTCATTAGAATCACTATCAATATCTAGTAAACGAGCTTTCTGTTCAATTATTCTTGTATCAACACAAAATTCATTTGAATCTGGTTTTGAATTAGGTAAAAGTAAACAAAACATTAATGCTACGGTGGCAAGTAAAGCACCAAAAAGAAAAGGAGGACCGGGAACATCACGACTAAGCGTTGATGAATAATTTAATTTTTCACTAATACGTATTGTTGTACGATTCGAAGATGTTGACATTGTTGATGCCAATGATGGTACTGATTCATTTAAATTAACATTAAATAAATAAAAAATAAAACCAAATAAAGCTGGACCAAGACCATTACATAAACCACGTACACCATTAACCATACCTTGAACAAGACCTAAAACAAAAGCAATAAAAAAAAAAAAGAAACAACTCTAGATATTTTCTTACCTTGTTGATTATCTTTAGCATAAACAGAAACAAATGCGCTTATGGATGGATAAGTAACAGATGATAATGCAGCTAAGCCACCAGCAAACCACATAACCCTAACATAGAAAATACTCATTTAATTAAAATTTTATGTTTTCTTTTTTTTTTTATCCTACCAATTTGATGTAGCTATACCATAAGCGGCTAATTGAACAATTTGAAAAAATAGTCCAACCATAATTGTTTCTTTTGAACCAAAATAGCGTTGTAAACAAGCTAATAAAGCTGTCTAAAGTTAAAAGAATTATTAATTTTTGCAAAAAAAAAAAAAAAGTATTCTTTACTTGAGCAATACATGATAAAATACCAACGAATGCAATGAAATAAGCTATTTCATCTTCTGAAAATCCAAGCATCTATAAATAAAGACACATAAACTTAATTCTTGGAAGATACAGTAAGTACCAAAATTATTCAACAACATTAATTTTTAGTTTTATTTCGTTACCATAAGCGTTCGAAAAAATACAAATAGTAGAAAAAGAATAATTTCAAACAAGATTCTAACGAAAAAAAAATTATTATCAAATTTGAAAAGATAAGAATTTCACAAAAAACAAAACTCTAGTTTTTCAACATCAAGAGTGTGTAATCAAAATTATATTTTCGCTATATAGGATAAGTGAGACATCGCCGAGTTCTCTGCAATGTTTCTTGACTGAAATACAAAAACTTCATTGAAGAACAAAAAATGCTTTTGCCTACAGGAAATTGAAAATAAACGACTTTAGGGGCTTCCATAAGATGGCTGTATCTCAGCTAAAAAAAGTCACAGAGAACTTGGGATGTTTCATTTTCTAGAGAATTATTTGTACTCTATCACTTGATATAGTCTAAACAAAATTATAACTACAAGTTATAGCTGCTAGTTTTCTACTATTTGGATTCTTTCTAGCGTTTACTGCCGGCAGAAAAAAAAAATTGATAATAAATCTTGTTGAATTATTTTGGTAGTCACTGTATATAAACAACACTTACTAATCGTAAGTAAACAAAAAAACATGAATATTGTCCTGCTTCTATAAATAAATGAAATGAAAATAACTAATTAATTACACGTATAATATCTTACCGGGAAGATAAGATAAAAGGACAATAAGACAAATAAGACAAATAAAACGATCTTTTGTAATATTTCTAAGAGCCTAAAGATATCTTAATAATATATTAAAATGAATATGAATATGAAAACATACTGCAAATGGATCAATTTTATCCCAAGATACTTTTTGATCTGTTCTTAATCTCTCTGGTAATGATTCAGGTACAACAAAAAAGATAAATATTAAATCAAGAATAGCAACTACTGTACCTAATTAAAACAAAAAAAAAACAGTAAATAAAAAAAAAAGAAGAAAAAAATTGTCATACCAACTGCAATCACAAAATTTTCACTATAAAGCCTTGCTAAATGAGCACCAATAGCTGGACTTGTGATTAATGATGCAGCAAATGTTGCTGTTACTAGACCTAAAATAAAAAATAATCATTCAAATAAATACACAGCAGATGGAATTACACATACCATATGCAGTACTTCGTGAATTTTCATCAGTAACATCCGCAACATATGAGTAAACAACACTGAATGTCACAGAAAAAAGACCACTGATACTAATTAATGCAAAATACCACCTAAAAAAAGATCAACATTATATCCATTGTACTTCTGATCTGAAAAATTAACCGATGCAATATTTAGTTTTCAAATAGGTATCAATTAGTTTGAAAATTCACACAAGTAGAAACAAAATCGACTCGAATATCAACTATCAATACTCCTCAGCTTAATAGATTAAATTTCTTTGAGCACGAGTTATTTCTTTTTTTAATAAATTTGGTTGTATGATGTCATGATCAGTTTTACACTTAACTAAAACAAAATATTTAAGCAATTCTTTTAATTAACGTTCATTTGAAGCCAAAAGTTGCAACTTATGTAATGAGAAATACGGAGAAAAAAAAAATTTGTCTAAGCGTATTTTACTTACATTGGACTTATTTTCATTAATGGAATTGGGCAACATGTGAAAAAGACTGTAATCAATAAAAATGATTTTCGTCCCCATACATCCGAATAGGCACCAAGCAATGGTGAACTTAAAAATGTTAATAAACCTCTGAAGAAAAAAACCAACAAGAAATTGAACCTATAAAAATGACATATCATTTTACTCACTTTACTCCATGAATGACACCATTCATTAGAAATGTATGAGTTGGAAATGTTCGATTGAGTGTCTAGAAACAAAAACAATAAAGAACAAATTAAAAATTTTTTAATGGAAGGAAAAAACCTGTAAAGTTTCTTACCGAAATAACTGGATTAGTAAGAAGACCCCATGCAAAAAATTCAAGAAATATTACGACGAGTCCATGATAAACACTTGGTTTACCAAAACCACCGGGCTAAAATAAAAAAAAAAAAAAACAAAATTTAAGAATAAAGATTATCCTAAAAACATTATTTTTCTTATATTTATCAAAAAAAAAAATAATAAATGATATACTTTAATTATTTTATATCGACTATTTTCAAATTTGACACGTTTTTCTCCATCATTATCAGTATATAGCGTTTCATCGAGATCGGTGACATGATCTGTCATGACCGATGACGGAAGACGCTGTAAATCGTTTGATACCACTATTGTCGCCAGTGAATCATTCACTTATGTATGCTTACACAAATCAATAGAACAGGGTAATAACGAAAATGAGCCAATAACACGACGAAAAAAAAAATTAATATTTCAATTTATATGAAAATATTGATATAGAAAAAGGAAGAACTATTTCATTTAAAATCATATATTCTTTGCTATATAAAATATGATAATAAGCATAAAAAATATGTATATATATTTATATGAAAAATCTTACCAAATTACTACGAGCAATATGATTACTAGCACTGGTTAAGCGACGACGCGTTTTTGTAACAATCATAAATATGTTTAGTCCAACCAGAGAACAAGAATATTTGTGAAATGCTCTTTTTTTCTTTGTTTCACTTCGAAAATGCTCGTCATATATTCTAGATCACACCTTCCTTCTCTATGACAAAAACTGTCTGCACGCACACCACCTGATATTAACTACAGCGACCCCGTAGAATAAGAGAAAGAAAAAAGAAAAAAGCAATTGGAAAATAAAATCTATGACTCATCAACATTTAGTTCTTCCTCAAGTCGCAGATTTCTATTGGAAATTTTTCTTGACTTATACAATAGTCTGATAGAGAGCGTTGGAGAAATCATATGAAACAAATATCTATAACCAACCAATCGTCACATAGCAATAATCAATATTTTTTTTAAAAGCCTCTTAATAATAAATAAAAAACCTAAAAAACCAGTATTTAATCATTAATTTTTCATTTTTTTTTTATGAATCATATAGTTTAGATTTGAGCATCTTCTTTTTGAAAGGATGCAAGTATGTTGTATATCTCGTTTAACTTCAAACACAATGAAACGCGCATGTCCTATTGTTCGAAAATTATTACAAGCAGGTTAAAGAAAAAAAAAATTATTTCAATTATAATCATTTAAAAACAAACTATCATATATTTATTAGAAAGTTCACGTACAACAAGTTTATTGCGTAGTTCATCAACAGGAACTGATCAACAAAACCAAAATAATGACAAAAAGAAGAATGTAATAAATTTAATTTATATTCTTGGAGGATTAACAGGTGCTGGTATGATCTATTCAGTGGTATGTTTTTAATTTTGATTCATTTATGAATTAAATATGAATCGTTTAAGATTCGAAATCGAAAAATTTCTCGAGAAAAAGAACAAGCTCTTACAAAATATGATGAGACGAATAAAACACTTGTTGAAAAAGTAAAAGATTTACAAGATCGACAATCACTTGGTAAGATCACTTTTTGTTTTCATAAAGAAAAAAAAAATTATTGTGACTTTTAATCTTTATGAAGCTAAAGAAGAAGATTCAGAGTTGATTAAAAAAGAAGAATTAACACCAAATATTCCTAATTTTGCTCAATATTTAATTATTGGTGGTGGTGCAACAGCTATGAGTGCATTTAAAACTATTCGAGCACATGATGCAACAGCTAAAGTTTATTTCATTTTCTTCATGGATTTATATTTCATCTTATTCTATTCAGGTTCTTGTAATAAGTTCAGAAGCCTATATGCCATATATGCGTCCACCATTATCGAAAGATATTTGGTATACAGATGATGAAGATCTTATACAAAAACATTCATTTAAACAATGGAATGGAAAAGAGAAAAGGTTTTTAAAACGATATTATTTTTGTATTATTAAGATATTTTGTTTTTCTAGTTTATATTTTTTTGATAATGAATTTTATACAGATGTTAAAACATTGAATGAACAAGAGAATGGTGGTGTTGCAATTGTTCTTGGAAGAAAAGTAGGATAGAATATGAATTATTGAAAAAATAAAATCAATTTTATTAAAATAAAAAAAAAATATAGGTTACTCAATTGGATTTAAAAAATTCTGCAGCAAAATTAGATAATGGATGGGAAATATCATTTGAAAAATGTTTGATTGCTACAGGTGGACAACCAAAAACTATGAAAGTATTTCAAACAGCATCAAATCGTTTGAAAAACAAAATAACACTTTATAGAGGAGTAAGTGTTATGTTTTTGCATTAAGTCAATTCTCTATATTAGCAAATGAATGTCAAACCATTGTATGCTTCAATGAATATTTTTTCTTTTTCTTTTTCTTGCGTTCTTCGCTTATTTTTTTTCTCTCTCTCTCTGAGCCTTACGCTGCCTGCATGTAATACAACGCAAATAGGAAAGTAAAAACAAATGTACAAACGAACCAGAATAAATGCTTGCATAAATAATGACGAGCATACAGGTCATATATATTACTTACTCTTTTCATGTTGTGTTGTACATCACACTAGCATTTCTTTTTTTTACATGATTTGCATCTACATATACAAATAGCTCATAAAAGAAAAATTATTTCAATGCTAAACGACTCAACATTATCGACTATTCTATTTCGTATTGAACATTTATTTGATGGCCAATCATCATCATCAAACAAAATGTTACCGAGAAATACTGAAAATTTATTTCCTATTTCAACATCAAATGATTTTCTTCCTGATCTTACTCTTAGTAATGATATTGTTGATGAACTAGATTGTTATCTAAAAAATGGTGATGATGTTTCTAATCGCAGCCATACATCATCACCATTAATTGCTCCATCATCTGTCTCATTAAAACAACAAACATCATCTAAATTTCAATTTATATTAAATGCTCTAACAGCATCATCAGCAAAAATTAATGAAGAAACAACAACTTATTTAAATCAAGATCAACCATATGAAATTAAATTTCATGTCAATAATACATCATCATCAGAAAATTTTCTTCCAACTATTTATCGTTCTATATTACGTTTATGTTTTTGGGATAAAATATTACAAAATCAAGAGCGTGAATTAGTGCAAAAATGGTTAAATGAATATAAATCAATATCATTATTTGATATTGATATGAATTTAACTTATGGAATTTTATCAATCATACGTGCAAGACAAATACCAAATGCTATTGAAATTGTTTGGGATGCAACTACAACAACATCACTATTTATTCGTTTCAAATGTACATCAACTGATTTTGCACTCAAACGACATGGTGGAGAAAAAGGTATACCATTACGTATACAAATAGATACATATCATGAAAATGATGTTAATGATATACAACATTTATATTCATGTTGTTGTAAAATTCAATTATTTCGTCTAAAAGGTGCGCAAAGAAAAAATAAAGCAGATAAAATGAGAATTGAAAAACTAAATATTGATCAACGTCGACATTATCAAACAACACTTGAACATACTGTTTTACAACCATGTGTTGTTTCATCACTTTATACACTTAATCTTCTTACTCTATCTTATGCACCGGATGATTTGTCTAATGTTGATACACAATCGACGATGACAACGGAAAATATCACAGAAGAAAAAAAAGATTGTGAAAATAATTTACAAGAAAATCGAAATAATAGTACTGGATATCTACCATCGCCTTTATCGGATATGAAACATACGTATTCTGACTTACGAAATACTGAAGTTCAAAAGGCAACAAAAATTACTGTACAATCATCATGTGAAGAAGTATTAAATTGGTTAAATAATAATAATTTTTCTTCGGTTATTAATCAATTTCAACATTATACAGGCATTGATCTTCTACGATTGACTATGAATGATATTCGTCGAATATGTAATAGTAATGATTCTATTAGTATTCGTCTTTATAATCAATTACATGAAACTGTTGTAGCACCATTAAAAATTCTTTATGTTAAAACTACCAATACAGATCTTTATTCCGCTATTTATTTACATACATTAACTAGACATGAATTAGAAGAAAAAATTTTCGAATTAATTCAACAAACTCATCAAGAAAAATATAATTTAGTACTTGACTTAGATAAGATTAGAATAAAAATAGACAATGATGATGTTGTTAAATATTCTTTACCTGATAAAGGTCAATTTGACTTAAAACTATATCGTTGTGAAATAATTCTTTATTTGATAAGAAATTCTGTGTAGTGAGAAACTTTTTCTTTTCTCTCTAGTCATAATAATATTTAATTGTAATCTAAATTATTCTATTATTGTTTTTATTTTAGATCGACGATTTTTTTTCATTAAAAAAAATTGTTGATAGTGGTGCTGATATTGCTATTGTTGGTGGAGGATTTCTTGGTAGTGAATTAGCATGTGCTTTAGGACATCGAGCAAAAGAACGTGCTAAAAATGGAAAGCCAAGTGGAAAAGTTATTCAACTTATGCCGGAAAAAGGTAAACAAAAGGGTGGTGCCAGACTGGGTGTCCTATCTTGAATTAGAATACTATATACATGATTTTTTAAAGCAATTGATAGCGCATCGAATAGTATGTAAGAACTCAAGTTTTTCTCAAAATTTCGATGTGCTGAAGGTCGATATGCTTCTTGATTGTAATTCTTGAGAAATATGTATATATGATATTCACACATATTGTGATTCTTAACATGTTCTAAGATAAACTTAGACGAATTTTCTTTTCAAATTGCATTCGATAGAGTTAAGAGTGTATTTCGACATTTTATAATCAATAGTTTTCATCGTTGTTCTCTTCCTACTTATAACTGGTCCCTTTTCTTAAGTTTGTTTCATTTCATGGCTACTTGATATTCAAAAATTTTCAATCCTATGCTACAGAACAAGAAAGAATCGGCATGAAGCTTTCTCCAAAATTCCACAATATCGAGCTCTATATGTTTTACTAGTAACATCTTTTCAAATACTAGGGACTCATTGTCCACCTGCAAGTTTGTCATCTAGAATAACTTGTATCGCTAAATAAAGAGACCATTGTATTGACGATAGCTTAATAGTAGTTGATGGTTCCATTACAAAATCTTTATGCATCAATAATCAGCACAGTATCCCTGATGAATTCATATGAATAACTCTTTGATAGACGAAAGAAAATTCCTTGGTTTCGAGACTCCTGCAGAGAATACAAGAATATGGAAAAATTTCTTTTTGAAATAACCATAAGATATTTATAGATTCCTCTACAGTTTCATGCATAAATTAAGCTTAGATATTGGAAACAAAGTTAGCATAAGTTTATATTAGAACATCTTAGGGACTACAATGTCTATGTGAGTACCATACATATGTATTTTTCAAGGATTATAGCTGGTAAGTATAAGAACCTTCAGTATATCGAAATTTGAAGAAGACATGATTTCTTATATAATATTTGATCCATTGTCAAGTGCTCTACAAAATCATATACATGGCATTCTAATTCAAGATTTGGTCATCATATCTAGTGATGGTCTTTAGTAAGTGATTTAATTTATTTTGTACTGTTTTATTAGGTAATATTAGTAAAGTATTACCAGAATATTTGAGTAAATGGGCAACAGATCGTGTTCGAGATGGTATTATTTTGTTTTTATTATTTTCATGTTGTGTTCTATAGTTTATTTTAAATAGAGGGTGCTGAAGTATTAACAAATGTTGAACTTGTGAATGCTTCAATTCAAGATGGAAAAGTTAATTTAGCTTATATTGATCCAAAAGCACCACAAAAAACAAGTTATATGACTGCTGACCATGTTCTAGTTGCTGTTGGTATAGAACCAAATACTGACTTAGCAAAATCAGCTGGTTTAGAAATTGATCCTGATCAAGGTGGTTTTCTAGTTAATGCTGAACTTCAAGCTCGTCATAATGTTTGGGTTGCCGGTGATGCAGCATCTTTTTATGATATTAAATTAGGTCGACGTCGTGTTGAACATTATGATCATGCTATTGTCAGTGGAAAATTAGCTGGAGAAAATATGACAGGTGCTCATAAACCGTATTGGCATCAATCAATGTTTTGGTCTGATTTGGGCCTAAAAGTTGGTTTTGAAGCTATTGGTTTAACTGATTCAGATTTACAAACTGTAGCTGTTTATGCTAAACGACAGCCAGAAGATGAAGAACCACAAGAAGATAGTGAAGGAAATCGAGAACAAAAAGAAGTAGCATCAACAACTAATGAATTAAAACATAAAATACCAGAAACCAAAACATCGACAACTACAATAGATAATAAGAATGATTATAGTAAAGGTGTTGTGTTCTATTTAAAAGAAAATAAAGTTGTTGGCGTTGTTCTTTGGAATGTATTTAATCGAATTCCTATTGCACGAAAGGTAAAATAACAAAATTAAATTTTAAATTGAATGTTAAATTTCAATTTTGTTTTAGATAATCAAAGATCAACAAGAAATTACTGATTTTCAGGAACTTGCAAAACTTTTTAATATTCACAAAGATTAGTTTAGTGGATTTTTTTTTGTTTCAATGGTTTGCATTGCTAATAGTCTATATGCCACATGAAATTTCCTCTTTAACTTTAGATTAAATCTAAACTTTTGTGATTTGAAGTAAACAACAATATTATTTCAATTTTTCATGAATTCATTATTCATTTTCATTTTAATATTCTTCAATTTGACGTGTATCATTTACATATACAGTGAAACCTGCATTAGTTGAACGCCTTTCATAGGTGAATCGCTCTCATTTTATACAAAATCTCGCTCCTGTGAAGCAATTGATTATAAAACATAAAAAGAACTCTGTATTGTACCGACATTGTTGAGTGAGAAGCCATCTTGATCAATTTTCTCAGTAAATATTTTTATTTTACTCGGTTTCGATAAATCGAAATACAAGTTTTGTATTGAATGTTCTGTTCTTTCTTTTTAACTTGAATTATCGATAAAAATAGGTGCTTTGAGTGAAGAAAATTATGAAGTATCAAAAATGATCAATACTTCAATGTTGTATTGGAGAAAATTATTATCTATGATTACAAAATTGTTTTTTGTTGATATCCATTATGAATCACTAGACAAGCGATGGTCGAGTAAAATGTAAGAATATTATAAATATCTGAGCAGAAACACAGCATTAATCATGAATAAACGAAGAAAGAAAAATAAGGAACAAATTACCGAGTAAAAAACAAGCTTGATAAAACCTTGGATTCATAAAACACGCAGAACATAAATATCATATTGCATAATAATAGCACGATAATCAAACTATTTCAATGTTGTGAAATTCATATACGTTTTCAAAGAAAATAGTAACTATAAGTTTTGTCTTCAAATTTTGCTATTCCTTCTCTCCCCCATTACAGACCTGAGCAACCGAGGACAATAAACATCAGACTATTTTACCAAAATTCATTAGCAACAGAAAAAGGCACTGAACGGCATTAACAAGGAGATTTCGACTGGTCTAGACTATTCGCAAAACTTTCGTTGAAATATGAATAGTTAAAATATGTTTGTGAATATTCTAAATAGTATAGTTGCTTATTTTTTGCAAAAATAAAAACTTATATTCAAAATGTCCAGAACAATCAATAGTTGTGCATTGATTTGCTATAGTCATCAAATGATAAACGTAAAAATCGTAAATCGATTAAGTGATAACCTTGAAAAATAATCAATATCAGTGTTTTATGACTTGATCGAGATCCATAATACTGGGTTGAGATCTTCTGCTGTAGATGTATTCGGTATATATAACAGGCTTATTTGCAAAATCAGTCAATGTTTAGAAGAAGACTAATATTAAATTAAATAAAAAACGAATAGCAAAAAGAAAAATAAACGAATGAATAATAACTTCTGTTTGAAAGACAGAAATAAAGATGGAATAGCTTTTCCGACGATTGACTATCTTTGAAAATATAATTATGGTTCACTAGAGATTTTTCACGTTACGTGTCTTGTATTAGTATAATAAGGCTAAAGAACCTATATGAGTTCCACATATCAGCCTCAAAGAGACTGCAGTAATAAGTTTTTTTTGATTATTATCTTTGTAAGAAATTGAAACTGTGAATTATTTTTGCTTTGCATTAATACATAACTTTATTAGAAGAAGAATCGAAAATATTTATTTAATACCAGCATAATTGAAATAAAATAAATACAGTGACAAAAAAATGAGAATAATGTTTTATCTCAGCGTGTTTTATAATATCGGATGAAATCATCGTTCAATATAGTTTACATGATTTCTTTTGGTTTTGTTTTTCAACAAAAACTCAATTAAAAAAGTTCACATGGACAAGAAGATGATAGTAAAAACTATTTAACAACTCTTAGCATATCCATAATTAGGTGAAATTTTCATTTAGTATCGTTCAAATTTTTGTATTCGATGATTAAATGTGTCTGCTACATATCAGTTAAGTTGACTATTCAATATTGTCCAGTGAAGTCTATTCATTTGAGTGAAAAATATTCCAGGCGACCTGGTAATGCATGCAATTGTTGCATCATTCGCATCACTGGACAAAAACAGTTGAATACGACGATTAGCTGTATTAGATACGTACATATTATTCATAGGACGTAATACTACGCTCAAGGGATTATCGAGTAATTTTGATGTGCTACCACTGATTCCACTTGAACTACCAGCAAGAAGTGTCCAACTAGTAGCTCCTAATATCCAACGAACTACACTGGGAGCACCGTAATTGACTATAATAAAACTATTTGAAAATGAATCAAAGACATCAGATAGATATTGGGTGTGGGTGTG